CCATAAATACATGGTTAATTAGCCTAGATACTATCATGACCATGTGATGATAACGAGAGGATGTGGTCACTCTTGTTACGTTCCCAAATCATATGGTGTCTAAATGGAGTTTCTGTTGAGTGCTTGACAATGTGGTCATGAGAACTCACTCACCCTGGGAACAGTAATTAGGGGTTCTCCCTTGAGCTTTTGCCTAATAGCATTCTGTCTCATGTCCTTACACAGACTATTATAAATAGGACATTTGTTTACAGCCATGGCTATACCCAAAGTTTTCCTGCACAAATCTTCCTCAGATTAGGGGTTAGGAGCTGCTTACATAATGTAGTCAGAAATACAACTTGTTAAATGGCCACAAACCCTTAATTTCCCTTTCATGTGCCTATTCCGTTGGAAGAGAAATGTATTCCTTTTGAATGAGAAGAACTTTGTACATGTTTAGTTTGTTTTTTATATCAACTTTGAGGTATAATTTACATACACTGTAACTTATCCATGTCATCGCGTACATATCGATGACTTTTGGCAAATGTAAATATTTGTGTAACCATACAGATTTTACAAACTATGTACAGATTTTACAAACTGCATTAGATCACATTATGAGTTACAATTATTGAATAAATCTTGATTGTAAAAACAACAAATATTTTGGGATTTATATTGTATTATTCCCTTTTATATGCAAATATATTAACATACTATACAGATACCTAATTCAAAAATTTCAAACATTTTGCTGCTTCTGACTTAGAAGCATTTAAAAAAGGAAAATGCTTTTAACAATTTACTGTACTCAATTTTAGGCATTACATTCCAAGAAAAAAATCCACAAACTAGAAAACAAGCAGAGTAAGTCACTTGTACTGAAAAGCTGAGAAATCATATTCTAGAAAGAACACATTAGAGAATCAAGGGTTCTTAAGAGAAGAAAATATGCTAAGGTATGGTAGGGTTAGGAAGGATAATGTTGATCTCAAAGAAGTGAAAAACTTTTTTTTTTCCCTCTCCATTATGGTTTATTACAGGACATTGCTATACAGGGAACTATATTCAATAGGACCTTATTGTTTATCCATTCTATATATAATAATTTGCATCTGCTAATTCCAAATTCCCAATCCATCCCTCCCTAGCCCCACTTCCACCTTGGCAACCACAAGTCTGTTCTCTATGTCTGTGAGTTTGTTTCTGTTTCGTAAATAAGTTCATTTGCGTCATATTTTAGATTCCACATATAAGTGATATCATATGGTATCTTTCTTTTTCTGACTTACTTCACTTAGTATGATAATCTCTAGGTCCATTCATGTTGCTGCAAATGGCATTATTTCATTCTTTTTTATGGCTGAGTTGTATAGAGAAAACCCTAATGACTCCATAAAAAAACTACTAGAAATGATAAATGAATTCACCAAGGTAGCAGGATACAAGATTAGCATACAGAAATCTGTTGCATTTCTTTACACTAACAATGAAATATCAGAAATTAAAAGTAAAAAAAAATCCCTTTTAAAATCACATAAAAAAACAAACAAACTTAGGAATAAACCTGACCAAGGAGGTGAAAGAAATGTAAGCTGAGAACTATACAACACTGATAAAGGAAACTGAAGATGATGCAAAGAAATGTAAAGATATCCCATGTTCTTCGATTGGAGAAATTAATATTGTTAAAATGGCCATATACCCAAGGCAATCTACAGATTTAATACTATCCTTATCAACTTACCCATGACATTTTTCACAGACCTACAACGAATAATCCTGAAATTTATATGGAATCATAAAAGACCCAGAATTGCCAAAGCAATCCTGAAGAAAAAGAACAAAGCAGGAGGCATAACCTTCCCAGACTTCAGACAATACTACAAAGCTACAGTAATCAAAACAGTGTGGTACTGGTACAAAAAAAAGACATATGGATCAATGCAACAGAAAAGAGAGCCCCGAAATAAACCCACACACCTACAGTCAAATCTTCGACAAAGGAGGCAAGAATATACAATGGGAAAAAGACAGTTTCTTCAGCAAGTGGTGCTGGGAAAGTTGGGCAGCTCCATGTAAATAAATGAAGTTAGAACACATCCTCTCACCATACACAAAAATAAACTCAAAATGGCTTAAAGACTTAAATGCAAGACTGACCCCCGAAAACTCCTAGAAGAGAACACAGACAAAATATTCTCTGACATAAATTGTGGCAAAGTTTTCTTTCTAGGTCAGTATCCTAAGGCAATTGAAATAAAAGCAAAAATAAACAAACAAGACCTAATCACACTTACAAGCTTTTGCACAGCAAAGGAAACCATAAATAAAAATGAAAAGACAACCTATGGATTGGGAGAAAATATTTGCGAACAATGCAACAAGGGATTAATTTCCAAAATATAAAACAGCTCGTACAACTCAATAACAAAAAAACAAACAATCCAATCCAAAAATGGGCAGACGACCTAAACACATTTCTCCAAAGAAGACATGCAGATGGCCAACAGGCACAAGAAAAGATGCTCAATATCGCTATTAGAGAAATGCAAATCAAAACTACAATGGGGTACCACCTAACATCGGTCAGAATGACCATCATTAAAAGGTCTACAAATATCAAATACTGTAGAGGGTGTAGAAAAGGGAACCCTCCTATACTGCTGGTGGGAATGTAAATTGGTACAGCCACTCTAGAAAACAGTATGGAAGTTACTCAAAAAACTGAAAACAGTTGCCATATGATGAAGCAATCCCACACCTCTGCATATATCTGAAGAAAACTGTAACGTGAAAAGACACATTCACCCCAATGTTCATAGCAGCACTATTTACAATAGCCAAGACATGGAAGCAACCTAAATGCCCATCGACATAGTATCATGTCATCTGCATACACTGACAATTTTACCTCTTCTCTTCCAATTTGGATATGTTTTATTTTTGTCTTGTCTGATTCCTGTGGCTGGGCCTTCCAATGCTATGTTGATTAGAAGTGGTGAGAGTGGGCATCCTTGTCTTATTCCAGATTTTAGTGGGAAGGCTTTCAGCTTTTCACCGCTGAGTATTATGTTGGCTGTGGTGAAAAACTTTTATATGGTAAAAAGACCAAACCTTTTCAGGATATGGCTCCAGAGTGCAAAAGTACTAGAGGGAAGTTATTAAGGGTAGAGTTTACTTTACATAAGAAAAAACTTCTAAGAGTTAGAGACTCCAAATGGAATGGTTGTATCCCTGCACTGTTATTGTTCAAAAAGAGGCAAAAGATCATCTATTTGAGAAGCTGGTGCAAGAGTAGAAGGATTAGATTAGTAGGCCTCCTAAGTCCTTTCCAAAAGGACAATTCTGAGATTGTGTGATCCAGGAACTTCTTCTAATTTAAAGCCAAATGTCAGGGAAACAGTAACTCAAAGATGTACAACCCCTAAATCATGGTTTGATCAAGAACAATGAACTAAACCCAGACAGAAGCATACGCAGAAACAGACTCGCACCTGTATATACATACGTATACACACACACACACACACACACACACACACACACACACACACACACACACACACCACACACACCCCTTCCCACAATTCCTGGGAAGAAAAATAAGAATAACTTATAAAAATAATGACAAAATCTGTTCTATCTTTCCCACCAAATCTACTTTATGTTCCCTAGTCTATGTTAATAGTAACACTGGCTACCTGGTTACGCAGAATAAAACCTTAATGTTTATTTTCTTTGACTCTTCCATCTTCCTCCAATTCCTGCTAAGTCTACCCCAGAAATACCTCTCAGCTGTCTTTTATCTTTATACTTGTATTGCCATGCTCTCAGTTAAACTCCTGCAATTGATTCCTAAGGTCCTTCCACCTATAATCTCCTCCTCCCTAGGGCTATTATTCACACTGCTAACAGTGATCTTTCTGAAGCACAGGCTATCACATCACTCTAATCTGCTCAAAAATCTACTGGCTCCTTGACACCTACAAAGTAAAGTTCAAATTCTTTGGTATGGCCTTCAATGGCATCTCAATCTCCTTGCTTAGTTTGTCCATGGTATCTTATGCTTTGGTTACACTGTAGTTCTTGTCATTCCTGAAAGGCTATACCCTTCTCTACTCCATGTTTTTGTTTAGATGTCTTCAAATGCACCCCCTCATTCCCTCCTGTGGAAATTTTACTCATTTTCCAAGGCTTAAGCAAATGCTACCTATCTTGTGACACTATCCTTAATGCTTCTATGTCACAACCCCTGGCTCCCTCCCTTGGAATTAAACAATTCTCCTTGGAGCCAATAATACTTCTTTTCACACCTTATTTTTGCATTTAACAATAATGCTTGAAATTTCAGTTTTGGGTGAGTCCAAGCTTATGGCCACCCACTGTAAATCCTTAAAGGCAGACAGCAGACTTCATTTATTTCTATATCCAACCTTGTCAGAACCCCAATACCAAGTACCTTTTGTGTAAAAAGTGCTTAATAAATTTTTTTTTAATTGAACTGGGATTTGAGGACAGTTAGACTTCTGTCCATGGCTCAATACCAGTCTTAAAAATTGTAAATTCGGGACTTCCCTGGTGGCACAGTGGTTAAGAATCTGCCAATGCAGGGGACACGGGTTCGAGCCCTGGTCTGGGAAGATCTCACATGCTGCAGAGCAACTAAGGCCATGCACCACAACTACTGAGCCCACGTGCCACAACTGCCAAAGCCCGCGTGCCTAGAGCCCGCGGTCTGCAACAAGAGAAGCCACTGCAATGAGAAGCCTGCACACCGCAATGAAGAGTAGCCCCCGGTCGCTGCAAATAGAGAAAGCCCACGCGCAGCAACGAAGACCCAATGCAGCCAAAAATAAAAAATTAATTAATTAATTAAAAAAAAAGAATAAAGAGCCTTAATTTTTAAAAAATTGTAAATTCTATTAAAATTCTGATCAGAAGCCTAGTGATTGATAAAAGTCTCTTATCCTATTAATCTAACATCTCTGAGCCAAAAACAGTTATATACTTACATTCACTAGGAGAGAGAAATCAGTGACCAGTTGGCTAAGTTCAATTAAGTCCTTAAAAAGCAAGAGAAAGAGGAAGTTACTTACTTTCATGCCTCACAGCTACCAAAAGGAAAATCATTTTTAACATACCGCTTCTAAGGTTTCCCATGATTCTGCAGCATTTTGATCTCGAGGAATTTCAGGCAACACATATATCTGAGTCATACTCTGAGGATCAGCTTCATCTTCAGTAGTGTGAAATGTTCCTGGATGAACATAGCCTCATGTTTAGAGTTTATCTGCTTTGTTAGAAAGATGGTAGAATGAATCAATTCCATAAAACAGCTACCATGTGAAATGCTTACTAACAGAATTCAGGCTCAAAGTAAATTGATTATATATCTATGGGCAAGTTAGTTAACAAATATTTTTTAATTATTCTACAAAGTCATCTAAAAAATTGCTACAAATACAACTTACCCAATCTGAATAACTAGGGCTAGATGTGGAAGTAGCACAAAGTAGAACTACTCTATTTGGCCAATGTTCTATGAAGAGATACCCAGTAGATATGTTTAACACTTTTCATTGCTAAATCATTAACATTTATTTGGCTATTTTAGTAATAAACATCAGATTCACAAGATTTTAAAAGTAGGGAAGTGATGTATTTTTAGCAATGAAAATCAGTCATTTTTGGTAACAATAAATTTGTCATCAAACTAACATCTCTTACCATATGTATCTTTTTGTACATATTGCCATCCTTCTCCTCAGAGTAATTTTTCTGGCCCATGCCTCCACTGCTTCTATGTCATTTCTGGATTTTAAAAAGTCATCAACCCATTAAGGCTTTCCTTATTAAACACTGCTATAAAGATGAATTAATTTATACTCCAAACTCCACTTTCAAGTTTTCTTATTTCCTTCTATTGGTTTTACCAATCCATTCATTAAACTGATATTTATAAAATGCCTACTATATGCCAATCAGTGTGCTAAGGTAAATCACAAAACAGTTCCAAGTCATAGTGGTTAGGGGTATGGGCCTAGTCAGAAAGACCTGGGTTAGAATCCTAGTTTGGCTACTTACTAGCTCTTTGACTTGGGAAGGTATTTCACCTCTTTGACTGATTTTCCTCATTTGTAAAATGAGGTGGTATTTATTTTGCACTGTGGCTGGCTTATCTATTAAGAACAAGTGGTTAATAGTTACTATTACTGTCACTGCTACTGCCACTATTGTTAATGGAACTTACTATATAATGTGTGATATAGACAGGTTAACAGGCAAGTTCAGTATAGTCTGATAAGAACTATGATATGGGTAAGCATGGAATGCTATGTGAGCACCAAAGAAAGGTGTTTAACCTAGACTTGTGGAGGAAGAGTGGTCTGAGAAGGTTCTGAAGCTGAAGCCTGAGGATGAACAGAAATTATATAGCTGAACTGGGGCAAGGGTAGAGGGGGAAGGAGAAAGTATTCAGGCCAGGGAGAATAATATTTGCGTAAGTTTGGGAACTGAAAGGAGTCAGTATAACTGAAGCATAGACTATGACAAGAGAAAGCAAAGGTTGAGGCTGGAAATCTAAGATGACATCATTTATGGCATTGTAAACTATATTAAAGAGTTTTGTCTTTCTCTTAAGATAAATATGGAACTTTTAAAAGGAGTGGGAGACTATTGGGAAGCTGAGGGTGCCATAATCAGATTTCAGATTTAGAAAGGTAACCACAGCTACAGTGTGAAAAACACATTAAGGATGGAGTTGAAAGGTGAAAACTTTTAAAGAGTGAAAAACCAGTTGGGAGGCTTTTCAATGTGTCTGGTGCAAAATGATGATGGTGTGCTTTAGGACAGTGGCAGTGGAAATGGAAAGAAGAGATCTGAAGGTCTACTTCCCTTTGTCTTCCTTACTGCAAGCTGAAAACACCTACCTCTTTAATATTTTCTGAGCACCCATTATGTATTGTGTTGAGTACCAGGGATAAAAAAGTGAATACAAAGTATCTGCTCTCAAGGAACTTATATTCTAGCAGAGAAGACATACAAAGAGACAACCCTAAAACAATAAGAGAGTGCACTGATATCTAGCTAAATATAGATACATATAGTATTTATGGGAGTTTCAAGCTACGGGTGGCATCTGACCTAGTTTGGTGTGGTGTGCACCAAACTATAAAAGGTGATCTTTTCTACTAGCCTAAGAAGATAGGAATATAAATTCTAGGTGGAGAGACCAGCATGAAAAAGGTCCTCAAAAAAAAAAAAAAAAACCAATATAGCTTAAAATAAAATCAGCAGTCTGGTCTTCCCAAAGCATAAAGTAAAACATACAATATAAAAGTGGTATTTTATAAAACTGCATTACTATTTTAATTTCAGAATTTGAGAATGTTTTACCTCTTGAGGAAAAAAACCCATCTGAATTGTTTAGGAAGGGCACAGTCAGTTGATTAAAAGTTAATTTGTAGGCTTATTAGAATTGACAGTGTTCTTTTAATTTTGAATCTTCACTGAAATGAATACATTTCCCTACCTTAAAGGAAGAGCAAAAACATCAAATACAAAATATGTTTTACATTACAACATATAGCAAATATCCAACATTTTAAAAGCTCTGATTTTTACAAATGCTTAAAAGAGTTATTTACCCTGTCTTAAGTTATCACATAAAAATACTTCTCAAAGTAATTAATTATTCTAAGATCTTTCTTCTACTTAATATTGCTTTTGTAATAAGAGCTCCCAACTTCTTTAATAGGATGATGAATAATGATAACTGTTATCATTAACGGATCAAATGTAAAGCAGAACTTTATAAACATAACACCACTCAAAAGATTATTTTTTAAGCCATAATCTTCGTTCTGTTAAGAGCAGATTCCAATGAAATATGCCAGGATATATAACAAAATAATTATTATTATCTTGATTACATAAATTCTTGATCTAAAAAACGAAGGGATGGGAAATGTTTGACATTTGAAGCAAACACAAAAGATTTCCCTCAGTGAAAAACTAAAAAATGTTTAAGTCATTTATGTTTCACTTGAAACCAAACTGCGTATGCATCTTAGTTCAAATGGAGTCTTAGAACAAAGAAATCTGTTCTCTTCCATGGAAAATCCTGCTGTAAATTTACAACTCAGAACATCACTAATCAATTCGAGGCGTGACTAACAATTGAGAAAGGAATCTTTTAATTTCTACAACTTCCGTAATTCATTTATTCCAGCTTGTATTAAAAATCATTATCTCAGTGATCATCCATTGACTTTGAACTTTTACAAGTTGCTACAGACATGATGAGGCAAAACACAGAGATAGATTATAGCTGCAGGAAAGATGGCTAAAGAGTTCTTATCCTGTCCACAGAAGTCAAAATTGCTATTGTTTTATAGGACATAACAATCTCAGTTCCATCCACTTGCAAACAACTGCAAGTGTAAAGGGCACGTGGACTATACGTATCACTCACCAGTGTTTTTCAAATTCTATTTATAAAACATTATTGACTCTAAACTCAAATAAACATCAAGATATTTTTAGTTCATGTGAAAAATAAGCTTAATAACATGGACATAAGACTTCTCCTTTCTCTCTATGTGTCTAAACATATTCTCTCTCTGCGCCCCCACCTTTCTCCATACATCAAGAAGGGCAATGATTCTAGTAAGAATTACAACACATATTTAAGGAATTTCTACTAAATTTTACTACATTAGAAAAAGTTCCATTATAAATCTAAGTTAATTCAAAAGCATTTCCTGAATTCGTTCATGTTCTAACAGCTTTAACATAGTGACATTATTTTATTGATCATCTACATAAACCTACCCATCAAAATAAGATGACTTCTAAGTCATGGCTTTACTATGCTGCAGAGGAGAATTTTTAAGAATATTAAAACCAATACAAAACACACCTTCTGAATAATATACAAAAGCATCTACATGATTTACAAAACTGTTCAATACAAGTGTATATATATACCTGTGATAAAATCTAATATTTCATTAAATTCAATATGCTGGTCTGAAGTTCCCAGCAGTTTTAAGGTTAGATTCTTTCCTTTTGTGAATATTTGTTTAAAATGTAATAAGATTCTGTTTCTATTGCACTGATGAAGTGTGTGTGCTGGATGGGGAGTAAGAAAGAAAGATAGAGAGAAGCACTGGTTTGCTCTGTATGCCTTGATACACCTTTCTAAATACAAAACAAATGTGTAGGCTCATCACTTCTCTTGGTGGGAGGCAATATGCTAAAAATGAACTAGACACACAGGAGAGAAAGAAGGGAGTTTCTCAGATCAGGCAAGATCGGCAGAGAAGATTTGCTTTAGGAACTCTCAGAATCTGGACAAAAGAAACAGCAAAATCATCACAGCTTCCCCCTAAACTTAATAAGCTTCTTTCATTCTCCAGAGAACATAAAACATTCTATTCTACTTGTTATTTCTATCTGTAAATGAAAAACTATTTTTGTATTTTGATCTCAGTCATGGAAATGTGGCAACATTGCTCCTGAATCTTGATGTTTCCAACCAATTTATTTATAATCAGATTGAATTTTTAAAGGAAAAAGTATTTTAAGGCACTTAATTTCTGTGCAAATCAAACATATATTTTCTGTATAGGCTGTCATTACGAGTACCTAAAGCAAAAATAAGAAAAAAACAGAGAGCACAATATAAAAACATGTAGAATGACAGAAAAGAGTCTACAGCTAGAAGAAGACCACACATGGAGCAAACCCAGTTCTTACTCCACTATTAAAGTCTTATGTATTAGTTGCTCTCCTTTCGTTATTCTTCTTTCCCACCCTCTCAATTACTTGTTAATAATATTTATGGATTTAACACAACCTAGTAGAAACTTCACATTTGGTGAAATACTTAGGCATTGGGTGAGACAGTTAATTTTAACTGCTAATGTTGGCAATGGATTCAAAGTCAAAGCACAATCTGACCAGCAGACAGTTCAGAATTTGAAACTATACACACTGTTTTAGGTATAATTTAGGTATCTGATTTTATAAATAGAATGACTGTTTCAATTAAATCAGCACTAGATGCAGAGAGTTAATTTTGTAGTTTCTCTCAGTTAGTTCTTTAGCTAATTTGGTATTCCATGAATTGAGAAGTTTGAGAACCAACAGAGTTGGAAAACAAATTTCACCTATTTCTTCTCCCTTATCCTCTGGCTCTGCCCCAATCTTCTTCACTTCCTCCGTACACATGCTTCCTCAAATTTTGCCAACATTTTTTTTTTAACACCAGTCAGTGCCCTACAGAGAAAGTTAATTGCCAGCAAACTGGGTAAACTACCTTTTTCTAATCATCACCCAATTCCTCTGATGACAATATAAACCCAAATTTGTTGAGCCCAAACAATCCTACTGGTAGAAACACAAACAATGCAATACTAAAATGCAAATTAAAGCTAGAATACTTAAATAGAACTCAAAATTTTTGTTTGCTAAGGAATTGCTGGTGATAGCAATTCAAAACTAAATAGCAGGGCTTCCCTGGTGGCGCAGTGGTTGAGAGTCCGACTGCCGATGCAGGGGACGCGGATTCGTGCCCCGGTCTGGGAAGATCCCACATGCCACGGAGCAGCTGGGCCCGTGAGCCATGGCCACTGAGCCTGCGCGTCCGGAGCCTGTGCTCCACAGCAGGAGAGGTCACAACAGTGAGAGGCCCGCGTACCGCAAAAAAACCCAAAAAAACAAAACAACAACAACAAAAAAACTAAATAGCAGAAGAGACTGATGCCAGTGACTCTTACAAGAAAATCCAACATTATCAGTGTTATTACTGTCATCACAACTGTCACAATGTCTGGTAGATAAGATGACTCCTTAATCTCACGGAACTTATAAGGCCCAGTTTCTCTATACACAAACATAAAGTATAGGTTTGCACTACATGGTAAGAACAGCATTCAGCTGCATCATTACGGAGGTGATAATTACATATGAACAAGATGATGTAAACAGTAACTACAAACTATCAAAAAGCAGTCTTCCCAAACACTCTTCGACCAAGGTTGAGTGCTAACATTTCCTTCTCCCCAGAACAACACTTTAGGCAGTGTTGCTACGTAGTGGTTATCGACAGAGTGAAGTGATTAGAGCACATCTGAAATTAGAAAATTGTCTCTAAAAAGATGTTTATTCATTCATATTTCTAAAACATTTATTAATGATCCACTATGTGCCAAGTACTATGTATTATGTGCTTAGGTACTAAGGAAGCAATAAAAGCAAGATTACCCAGAAACTCTGGATGATGGCCTAAATGTTTCTTCTATTATAAAAAAAAATTTCCCTGTAAAACTGGATCATTAGTACTGAAAATACAGCGTTAAAAATAATCTGGTTTTGGAGACAGGGAGTGATACAGGAACCTCCTAACTCCTAGGTAAATAAAAAGAGGAAAACGGGTCAGCTGTAACATCTCTCAGATTGTATTCTAATTTGTAATTTATTTATACCGCATCCTTTCCATAAAGTTTTATGGTGGCTTAGAACATATATAAACTGTAATAAGATGACATAAATTAAAAAGAGAAACTCTAAAACAAAAATGGAAATACAAGGACAGCAATTATAAAACAAAGCCAGGAAAGTTCAAAATTTGGGCTTTTGCAAATTAAAAAATTTAGATTTAAGTATTCCAGTAAACAATTCAAGTAGAGAAATCTTATTAGTTATGCCATTCAATACCCAGAAGAATAAAAAAGATTAATTGGGGCTTCCCCGGTGGCACAGTGGTTGGGAGTCCACCTGCCGATGCAGGGGACACGGGTTCGTGCCCCGGTCCAGGAAGATCCCACATGCCACGGAGCGGCTGGGCCCGTGAGCCATGGCTGCTGAGCCTGCGCGTCCGGAGCCTGTGCTCCGCAACGGGAGAGGCCACAACAGTGAGAGGCCCGTGTACCGCAAAAAACAAAACAAAACAAAACAAAAGATTAATTGCTTTGAAGTACTACTACCTATTAAACAAAGAATATTTTTCAGGGTTCCTTACACAGACATTATACAATGCTATCAACAATTATCAATTACATCCTTAGAAGAGTTATCATGACAAGTTTCATTGGCCTCTTTCTTAGAGTATCACTTCATAAAAGTTAATGGCATGACCCCCAATGCAGACTTTTCTGGGAGACAGATCTAACATGCCCTCTGAAAACCAGAATGCCTAAGAAAGAAGCATGCCTGCCTAGGCCACCCCCGCACCTGGAGATGAGGGAGGAGTACTCTGAAGACAAGGATGACATTCTCCTTAGGAAATATTTTAAAATTTATTTTTAATATATGCACAACTAGGTACTTGAAGCTTTTAAGTTCCTCACTATACAGCATAGCCTCAATTTTTTTTACCCTGTAAAACTTTTAGGATATGCAATTCCAAGCACACTCAGGGTCCAAGAATTCAGCATACTGGACTAGGAGGTGATCCCTGGAGATTTATATATAATCTGCAATACCAATACAAGGAGGTAAACTTAATTAACTGCATTACTATACTATCATCAAGAATAAGACTTAGTACATTACCACCAACAGTCATGGATCTGGTCAAAGAAGGCTGTAATAAAGTTTCTTCATCATTAAATTGTTTCTTAAGTTCTTCTACAGATTCCAGATGGAGTTGAAGAAATTCTGCTGTTGCTGCTGATGCTTCTTCTTTAACAGGATCTATCATTCTCTTCAGAAGTCCAAGGTCATCCTTTTGGACTTTCAAACAAAGCTTCTCCATTTCTCGGATATTGGAGCGGAGTTGCTGTAAAAGAAAAAAAAATCTTTAAAGCCACCATCTCTTAATATAAAATATCTTTATTTTCAGAGGTAATTTGTCATAATGGCTTTCAATGGAAATCAGAAGTATTCTTTACAACAGACAGTATGTATTAATACTTTTTTGTTTTTTCATGTCTCTGGCCAAATCCAGCTTCTTTAGAACTCACATCCTCATACTCTGAATTTATTTAGCATTTTTTCCTTCATTAAATGTGATTATTACAAAGGTAACAAATGCTCTTCATAATAAATGAAACACTGCAGAAACACATCAAGAAAAACTTAATGACTTTTTATTTTATATTGGAGTATAGCTGATTAACAATGTTGTGTTGGTTTCCCTCACTTCACCAATCCTACCACTTCTCTTAACTCAGTCCTTTCACATACTTATTGCTCATACAAACATTAGCATATACAGCTTTTCTTTTTATAAAAAACAAATTACGTTTGTTTGCACAATAATCTACAATTGACAAACTTCCACACCCCAACTTAACAATATCATAATGGATATCCCTCCTGGTCAATGACTGTACCACATACCATAGTACTGATGTAATATAATTTATTCGATCACTCCTCCAGTGATTAAAGTCATTGATGTTGTTTCCAGTTTTTAGTTATTACAAACTATGAAACAAACGTACTAGACTATAAACCCTAATATATGGTAACAGTATATATTAGTGTTCTAGCATATACTATTATACTACATTTTGTAGGAATGATTCCCCAAAGTTAGAGTACTCACTCAAAGGATAATATGTATCTTTATTTCAATAGCTATTATCAGTTCTTCCTCAAAAGGCTTAACAACTCACACTACCACTGAAGTCTAAGTTCCCATTTCCCCATATACTGCCAGTACTACATGTTATCTCACTGTTGTTTTACTTTGAATTGCTCTCTGAAGTTGCTAGATTTTGATGAAATGATTTTCTCCACTGTTAAAAATCACCTATTGCCATAATTTATAAATTTTTCTCTAATGTTGATATAATAAACTATGGGCAAATTTCATGTTACAGGGCCATTTTAATATTTCTGAGACAGACCCCCCTTGGTCAATATATACAATTTTTTAATACACTGTGGGATTCAATTTGCTAATATTTTATTTGGAATTTTAGTACATCTGTATGAGTATGTGAATGTGTGTGTGTGTGTGTGTGTGTGTGCATGGATGCACACATGAACAGTGTGTGTGTCTATACTATCTTCACTAGGTTTAAACTTATTCTAACAGGTTTAAGTTTATGCTAGCTTCATAAAATAAACTGGGGAGCTTTTCATCTTTTTCAGTGGTCTAGACTTTGAAAAATATAAAAACCAATTCTTCTTTTACAGTTAAACAGAACTTGTAAGAATGATCTATATATGATGCTTATTTTAAAATTATAGATCTCTAGTCATATAATATTTTAAATTCTTTTCCCCTAATGTACTTTCACAGACACTAATGCAAATCCTGTACAGGAGACAGAACAAAAAGTACTGATTTCTTAAATTTTTCAAGTGCCTACTTTGAGTGAGGTGATGTAGTCCATATTATTACATTCCACATTATTACACATAGAGAAATCAAAACAAAATTTGTTCAGGATTTACTTAATTATCTAGCAGCAAAACTCAGGTTAAAACCCAGGTATTCTTACAAGTCCAGCAACCTTTCTATTAAACTATAACCATAATTCCTAGCTATACGGTACCGTAATACAATCTAAAGTATCTATTGTATTCTACTAAAATTAAAGCTAATTGTGAAAAAAAAAATAGTTTAGCTACCACCTAGAGCATCTTGTAAGATATTGTGGATGAATCAAAAAGTTGTACCTCTATCCTATCATGACTCTATGCTTCATTTAACTTTATGTCCACTCTTATCCCCATGTGAGCTGGAAAACCTAAAGATAATTGGAGTGTGGATTAAAAATATGTGATACATAAGCATTTTAGATGTAAAATTCATGGAACCCTAAGGGGCTTATGTGATCATTCAATTCAACTTCACAATTTTACAATATGGAAACTAGAGTCCAGCTGAACACAGTGGCAGAATTAGGACTAGAGTCCAGTTCTCAAGTCCTGGAAAAATATTGTCTCCTACACACCTCTTGGCTGTGTGATTCCTTTCTGGACTACAGTTATAACTTGGTTATGTACTTGCTACATAGTTCATAGAGGTATTTTATGTGATGTTACTTTGGAGAAGCATTAAGAAGTTTCTGCAGCTAATGAGCATTTGCCTCTGACATATTCTCCCCCTCTTATAGAATCTGTACATATGTTACATCCCCAGTCAAATTACGGTGTCTAGCTTTAAGAACTCTTTATTACTATGGGTGAAGGGAAAAATGTTAAGGGAGAGAAAGAAAATACCCATTTAACTATAAAATCTGATACTATAATAACAAAAACACAAATAATGGCTAAATCTGTATCAACACTACTGTAAGTTGTCCATTATGCTAAGTGCTTTATCTTCTTTATCTTGTTTTACCTTCACAATTTATTTTTGAAATAGATATTACTGTTTTTCTCATTCTACAGAAGAGAAAATTAAAAGCAAATTAAGAAAATATCCCAGGATTACACTTCTAGTAAAAAGTAAAGCCAGGAATCAAATTCAGGCTACAGAGCATGTGTTCTCAACAACTTTACTATATAGCTATACTATCCAAAAGAAATACAATACAAACCATAAATGCAAGCCATACACTATGTAATTTTAAATTTTCTAACAGTCACATTAAAAAAGTAAAAAGAAAGAGATAAATTAGTTTTAATATATTTTATTTAACCCAACGCATCTAAAACATTATCATTTCAACATGTAATCAATATAAAAATTATTAATGAAATATGTTACATGATTTTATTTGTAGTCAGTCTTAGAAATTTGGCATATATATTATATTCACAGCACATCTCAATTCAAACTAGCCACATTTTAAGTGCTCAACAATTATATGTGGCTAAGGGCTACTATATTGGACAGCTACTATATAGCTACAAAGTCTCTCTAAAGTTAATATGTGAAGAATATAAAGTAGGTGTTTCTGCTTCTGGCTATAGCAGGCTGGATAATTAAAATAACTCTCCCATCAATGACTACTTAAAAAGCTGAAAGCAACATAAATCACAAAACAAACCAAAAGAAAAATAAATTCAAAAGCATCAAAAAGCAAACAAGATAGCGAGAAATTTGTAGGCCAAGAATTGGGCAAAGATGGAAATCCAGAGACGTGAGTCCTGAATTTAGGTCACATTTGCTTGAGGGTATCTGCTTACCAGAGTGCTTGACAGCCTCACAAATCTCAGGGTAAAATATCCAATGCCAGGACCTGCTATGGATAAGCACTACGGTGCCTTGGGCTGGAATCTTAAAAGAATTACACCCTAGGAGCACAGGTGATCCTGAAATAAATCAGCCCTTGCATGAACTGCAGTTCAGCTTCCTGCCTTTTGTGTAGCTAACATAAATCTTTATCTCTGAAATAGTATAAAGATAATCTTGGAAGTTAGTACCCCAGAGGCTTAGAAGAAGCAAATGAACATCTTCTCTGGAGGAAAATAACATCATTCCTAGCTATCAATAACTTCCATAAATAATTTTTCAAATATAATGTCCACCAGTCAAAGACAAGCACATGAGGACATACACAACATAATGAAGAAACAGCAGAAACAACAGACAACTGAAACATCCAAAGGGACATCTAATAGGGGAATTAGCAAATGTGACTTATAAAACTATGGTTATTTTGTTCCAAGATATAAGTATCAAGCTTGAAAATTCAGGAGATAACCAGAAACTATAAAAGGCAAAATACAGATTTTAGAAAAGAATGAATATCATTTAAAAATACAGTAAACAATCTTTGTACACTGTTGGTGGTAATGTAATTTGGTACAGCCACTGTGAAAAACAGTATGGAGGTTCCTTAAAAAAATAAAAATAGAACTACCATGACCCGGCAATTCCACTCCTGGATATATATCCAAAAAAATCGAAAAACATTAATTTGAAAAGATACATGCGAAGATTGCTGGAGAAGATGGCAGAAGAGTAAGACGCGGAGATCACCTTCCTCCCCACAGATACACCAAAAATACATCTACACTGGAACAACTCCTACAGAACACCTACTGAAAACTGGCAGAAGACCCCAGACCTCCCAAAAGGCAAGAAACCCCCCATGTACCTGGGTAGGGCAAAAGAAAAAAGAATAAACAGAGACAAAAGGAAAGGGAAGGGACCTGCACCAGTGGGAGGGAGCTGTGAAGGAGGAAAGGTTTCCACACACTAGGAAGCCCCTTCGTGGGCAGAGACTGCAGGTGGCAGAGGGGGAAAGCTTCGGTGCCGCGAAGGAAAGCACAGCAACCAGGGTACGGAGGGCAAAGCGGAGAGTTTTCCGCACAGAGGATCGGTGCCGACCGGTACTCACCAGCCCGAGAGGCTCGTCTGCTCACCCGCCGGGGAGGGCGGGGCTGGGAGTTGAGGCTCGGGCTTCGGTCGGAGTGCCGGGAGAGGACTGCGGTTGGCGGTGTGACCAGAGCCTGCAGGGGGCTGGTGCGCCGCGGCTAGCCGGGAGGGAGTCCGGAGAAAGGTCTGGACCTGCCAAACAGGCAAGAGACTTTTTCTTCCCTCTGTTTCCTGGTGCGTGAGGAGAGGGGATTAAGAGCGCTGCTTAAAGGAGCTCCAGGGACGGGCACGAGCCGCGGCTAAAAGCACGGACCCCAGAGATGGGCATGGGACGCTAAGGCTGCTGCTGCCGCCACCAAGAAGCCTGTGTGTCAGCACAGGTCACTATCCACACCGCGCTTCCGGGAAGCCTATGAAGCCCGCCACTGCCAGGGTCCTGGGATCCAGGGACAACTCCCCCAGAAGAACGCACGGCGGGCCTCAGACTGGTGCGATGTCATGCCTGACTCTGCCGCCGCAGGCTCGCCCCGCACTCCGTGCCCCTCCCTCCCCCC